CCTGGGTCCCTTTTCTGCTTTCCTGATTAATAGTATCATCCTTTGCAGATCTGCTCAGGTCAGAAGTCTGAGGTGTGGAGGAGGACTGTCACTTGGCCTTTATATCTGTTGATGGCTGATTTTATTGGTTCCATTCTGGCACCCTCACCTCCTCCCCTTTCCCACCTTCTTTCCTATGAGCCTACATCTCTCGTTTAATCTGATAGTGTGCTTATTTGCCCATTTTCCACAGTATCGTTCCTTTCCAAATCAGCCTCCTCGTCAGTTATTAAGTCATTTTTGGTAATGGAAATCTGAGCATGTCATGACCCCACTTACAGCCTTCTAGGATCTTCCTGGAACTGCAGATCCACAGAGACCCAAAGCAGAACAGATTGTCAGAGGCTGTGCAGGAAGGAAGACTGGGTAGTCAGAGCAGCGACCGTGGTTTCCTTTGCTTGCCTGTTCCCCTCTCCTCCGCCTTCCCTCGCTCTTAGGGAGTGGGGCTGCTAACAGAACGCTCTGCATGCCTGCACGCCTGCTGTTTTCAGAAGCATTTCTTCTATGTATAGTGAATCCCTGTACCCCCGCCATGCCCCCACTTGCCTGTCCAGGGATCTACTCCCTTAAGGCTCCTTGACACAAGTCTGCCTTGATACAGATGAATCACAAACCTATTGTGGATTTCCCTGAGTCCCCGGAACTGATAAAGCCACAACTGGGAAAACTTTCCTGCCGGTTCCACATGTCTAGATCCAAGGAGAATCCTATCACATTTTAAAAAAAAAAAAAACAAAATGGAATGGGGCTTTAAGCATTTGCATAACCCTTTTTAAATTCATGAAACACTTGTGACTCCCTGAAACATCTGGAAAACATGAGTTTAGAGGCTCCCAAAATATATCGTTTCTGGGGATGAGGCCATTTCTATGTGGGGAGATTTGAGATTAACTTTGTCACATTTACATATGTAATCATGGCCTTGCCACGGTTTGTCACACTTCTAAAAGCCACCGAGTGGTCAGCATCCTTGTTTTGTGAGTAGCAAGGCTTGGCCACAAACAATCAAATGAGTAGTTTTTCAGCATTCATAAATTTTATTTTTGAGGTTAACATTGGTAAAACACTGTATGTGAATAACCTGGAGAACACTTTTCTTTTTTTATATTTTATTTATTATTTTTGTTTAGTTTTTATGTGTATGAGTGCATTGCATGCATGCATGTAAGTGCACCCATGCATGCAGTACCCTCAGAGATCAGAAGGCATTGGATTCCTTGGAATTGGAGTTACAAATGGTTGTTAGCTACCCTGTGGATGCTGAGAATCCAACCAGGGTCCTCTGCAAGAGCAACCAGTGCCCTTAACCGCCGAACCATCTCTCATCTCTCATCATCTTCTCTAGCGAGCACTTTTCATTTGGGAGTTTGGGGGCCTATGAAATAGGCTTTGTGCCCCAAGGAGCTTTTTCCTTCCAGTGTTAACCACACTGGGTCCAGTGTCACTGGCTCATCACAAATGGCAGCTCACAAGTAGACCAAGGTGGCAGTCATCACCGAGGAAGCATGATATAATCTGACTTTTGAGCATTTCTTCTCCACTTAATGATCAGGGACATGGAAGGCGTGCAGGCACGTGGAAAGTAAATGCCCAAGAGGAAGGAACTAGGATGGTGCCGTGTGTAGGCCTTAAATGAATGCTTACTTATATTCTATGTTGGTGTCAATAGAAAACCCCCTGCTTTCCTGAAGAATAGAGGCAGTTCTGAACAGCAAATCTCAACAGGCAGTCTTTGGACTGACAGCACCAGACTCATTTGGAATTGCTAGAGATGCAGGTTCTTGGGACCTTCCATGGACCTTCAGAATGGAAAAACCCAAGTGTTTTCATTCATGTTCAACTGTGGAAATAATTCCTTTAATCCAAGATTATTGATTCGGAATAGGAACATGGAATGTTCTAGGATAGTCAGTTTGAAACAGACATTTTGATTCTATTGGTTTTTAATTAATTAACTTACTTATGAGTATGTATATGTCTATGTGTATGCCTGGAAGGCTAGAAGGTGTCAGGTGTCCTCCGCTATCGCTCTCTGCCTATTCTTTTGAGGCAGGGTTCCCCCTGAACCTAGAGCTTATGTTTTTTTTCAGGCAGCAAGCCCCAGTGATCCTCCTGTCTCTGCCTTACTTGGAGTTGGGCTTACAGGCATGTGCAGGATGCCTGGCATACAATGTGGATGTTAGGATCTGAACTCTAGTCCTTGTAACAAGCACTCTTCTAACTGCTGACCATTTCTCAAGTGCCAATTCTAGAGTTTTAATACAGATCATTGTTGGACAAATAATACTAACAAATAATGAAGATATGTTTATTTATTTAATTTGTGGTACTGGGGACTGAACCCAAGACCTTTACATAACTAACATTCCTTGAATACTCAGGCCAGGCTCCTGCGATATGTGTCCCACAGATATTCTTGTATTAAGTTCTCACACAACTCACAATGAACTGAAGAGGTAACATTTCTTTCCCAGTTGTATAGCTAAAGACATTCAGATCCAGAGAAATTAAGTCACCCAAGGCCACCTAACTTGCTGGACATTGTGTTCTGCCCAGCTCCTTCCTGCCCTCTGCTTCCTAGCCTCCACTAGTAGGCACTGTGCTGTCCCTCCTTAGCTGCAGCTCTGGCTCTGGAAGTGGGGTGACCATCATTTCTTGGGGATCTAATTCAATGATGCTCTAGCCCATTACTGACAGACTCATTTCCAGTTGAAGCATTTGGAGTCTATCACACACACAGCCTTATTCAGTGTCCTCCATTGTGATAAGGATATACAGCACTCCCTCACCGGATCCCTGTCTGGGCAGGACATGCAGATGAGATCCAGCAGGGGAAGAATCTCACTCAGGATGCAGGGCAGAGAACATTTTCCTCTAGAGTTACAGGAAGGGACTCTTCACACACACACACAGACACATTTATTTTCAGCCTGTGACATAGGACATGTTAGGTTTCCAGATGCAAGCTTGAAGCTTGTCATACTGGATGACAGGATAGGGATAGCGTGGAAAGAGCATAAATGAACTCCAGCCACAGAATATAAACAAGACAAGCAAAAGTCTGTTATGGGGCATCAACTCCAGCAGGCCAACTTGAGCTGAATTGAGCCAGCAGGCACTGGAGGTCGCTAGGCTGCTCTGCTAAACTTAAGAAACACGCTTTTGTTTGATTTTTCTGCAGTGCCCTAAAGGTCAGCAACTGTTCACTAGTCATAGACATGTGTGGTTTCAAAAGAAGTTTCTCTTTCTGTACTCAAGCATTCTGGCCTTGTACTTGGTGAGCTGACAGAGACTTAGGCCAGGAACTGCTGAGTCCCTCCTGCTGCTGGGCCAATCATCTTGCATAAATGCCTTGACTCAGTGTGTTCTTGGCCTTATGATAAGGCTGAAGGTCTGTCAGTGTTTGAGTTGCTAGGAAAGCACAAAAAGAAACAGACATCGACTTCAATAGGCCACAGGTAAGTTAACGCTGTACTGAATAGTCTTGGAATGAACATCTCTCAAAGGATCAGCATGTCTGCATGCAGAGTTGGGCAGAGTTTGACTTAAAATTTGAGGACAATCAGCACATGAAGACAGAGATGCCAAGCTTTTATCTCATTTAAGTCATCTATCAGATATCTGTAGACTCCTGCAAAGAGTCAGTGTTTTAGTAAAAGTGGCCTTCAAGTTGCTGTGAAGTAACCTAGCAACTGTTTACATAACCCATGTCAGATGTATTATCCACATCAAAGCTAGTGGAAACTAAGAATGTATTGCCCAGCTGTGTAACCTCCAAAATTAGTGATTTTTAAGCTCTCAAATAGCAAGTGGAGCTAGAGGATAAACTTGGATTTTTCCTTAGTGATCATTCTTTCTTGTCTTCATCAAATACGTGGTTCTCTGAAGTCCCAAAGTTTTAGCTCCAGTCTGTAAACATGTGGCCTAATCTATTGGTTTATGCCAAAGCTGTTGAGAGAGTCCAAGGATGGGGGCAGAAAAAAACACACATCCTGCTTTTAATGGGTAACAGGTTAAGGGCCGGGAGCCTGCTTGTCTATAAACACATATTGAACTCTAGCTAATGATCTGATGCTGAGGCATTTAGAGGAATTATACATATGTCTCCATTTTATTTTTAATTGTGTCAAAAGATAAGGTGGACGATTGGACGGATATTCAGAAGGATAGAAGTACACATGTGTGAGAGAGCAGTGAATGTTAATGAAAGAATCTAAATGTGAAATGCGAGAATCTTTTTTCAAATATGCTGCATATGTGAACACTTCATAGTACGATTTTGGAAAAAAATAAGAATGTTCTAACTCTATGAATGTTCAAGAAATAACCTTTTATATTAGGCACCAAAGATTTCTTTTTGCTGTTTATTTATTATCAAAATATTCCCTTTCTGATCCCTAAAAGCCAAGGGAAGGAAGAACTCAGTTTGGGGCTGATGGGAGTGTCTAATTAAAAGACAGAATTAGGCTTTCTTTTCTTTTGTAACCTGATCTAGCCTGGAGTAGATCCTACTTTCTGGTTCTAACTTAGAGCACAACACTCCCAAATAGGGGTTACAGAGGAGCAGAGTAATTACTTCTAAGAGGGAAAGAGAAGTCATTTTCAAGTTTTTTGCATATAAAATATGAATATAGCTTTGTGTAAAATCAAGAACTATAATTTAAAAGCTTTCTTAACTTAACAGTAACTTACAAAGCTGTGAGAAGTATGGTAATCAGCATTTCAAAGGCTAGATTAGTAGACTGTGCTCAGTTTGGGGTTTTGCTTTTCTTTGCTTGCTTGCTGTCTGGGGACTGAACTTGGGGCTTCCCACATGCAAGGGCTTTACTATTGAGCTATATTACAGCCCCATTCTGAATTTCAGATAGATCTTAAGTAATAATTAATCTGAATTAAGATTTTTCACTTATTTATATTTATTTCTGTAAATTTCAATTGTTCTTTTGTCTTTATTGTCCAAGGTAATAGTTCGAGGTGGAGGACACATTTTGCCTTATGACCAGCCTCTGAGAACATTTGACATGATCAATCGATTCATTTATGAAAGAGGATGGGATCCTTATAATTCATAAACTTCCTGAAAATTTTAAAAACTAAAAATGTCATATAAATAAGAACATTGTCTTTTCATATCTGCAAAATACTTCTCATCAATAAAAATTACCCTGAAACAAGTGAGATTTGAGGGTTATGACTTATTATAACAGTCTATGTGCAGGGGGATTGCATGACTTGACCTACAGCATGGATTCTGAGACACTGGTTCAGGTAGCATTTGCTATGATTGGGAATCTAACCAGGAATACATAATCCTTTCTAGGAACTAGAAGTGCAATAAATTAATAAAATGATGATATCTCATTCTGTTAATAATAACAGAACAGTTTATCTTATGATTGATCTGTATTACTGACTTTCACATTGCTCTTACCAAAATACCTGACAGAACAACTTGAGGGAGAAAAGATTAACTGTGGCTCATGGTTCCATAGGTTTCAAGCCATCATAGCAGGAAAGGCATAGCCGAGTGGCTGATTCATGACAGTGGGAATATATGGAGAAGGCTATTCACATGGCACTGAGACCAGGAAGCACACAGTGATGCTGGAACCAGAGATTGAGTTGTAAACTTTAAAGGCTATATAATGAATGGGCATGCCTCAAGTGAACCAACAAAGTCCATCTAGGTATGCCTAACTTGACGCCCCAACTTAAAGGTTTCCTGGCCTCTCAAACCAATGCCACCACCTGGGGAATAGTTATTTACAACATGAGCCTGGGGAGGCGGGCAATCATTTCAGATTCAAACTATAACAGCATCTGGGAAGGTTTGGTGAATATTACTGGATATATAAAATATATAAAAATAACTGAATTATCACTCCAAAGGAGTGGATGAAGCTATACTAGTCACAAGAGATTTTTGTATTAACATAAAAGGTAGCTTGCAATTCAAAATAGAAATCTTCCTTACAAAAAAAAAATGATGCTAAGCTTACTAGTAGATATAAAATCCTGCAGTGAGAAGAAATATTCAAATGATAAAAACATTATTTAAAATTCAGATTTCCCAGTAAGATAACAGCCCCTCTTGGAATCACATGTGAACACTGCCATTTAAGGCCTTATTTTGTATTGAAAATGTGTTATACCTTGAGAGAATATTCAAAGGACTTGTAGAAAGTAGACTATATATATATTTTGGTAAGTATTAATAAACAGTATATTCTATTCTTTTAAAAAAAATGGGAGGGGGACTAGAGAGATGGCTCAGCAGTTAAGAGCACTGGCTGCTCTTGCAGAGGACCTGGGTTTGGTTCCCAGCAGCCAAATGATGGCTAACAACCATCTGTAACTCCAGTTCTAAGGAATCTGATGTCCTTTCTGGTCTCCATGGGTGTTGCATGCACAAGTGCACTTACATACACAGAATAAAAATACATTTTTAAAAATTTAAATAAATATGAAAGAATGATGCTCTAGTTCCTGGCAAGCAGAGGATCTTATGCAGACAGCATCCTCAATCTGACTTTTCTTTTTAATTAGTCTTTGGGATCTGTTGGCTCACTTGAGGTATACACATTCATGACACAGCTTTCAAGCCACATTAGATGAGTTAGTTTTAATCTGAGTTTTAAATTCTCTGCCTCCTGTCACCAAATAAAGAGCAATATAGTTTTATATCATTGTTGAAATTAAAATTTGAGATAACCTGGCACCAGAATATAGATATTTAGGAATATGCATTCATTAGCAATTTTCCAACTAAACTATCACATCCAGGCACATCTTTCTTGTTAAAGCTTCTGTGCACACAGCTCTTTGAACTTCTATAACAGATTTGAGTTTTCAGCACAATTTCCTTCCATTTCATATTCCCTTACCCAGCTTTGATTTGGCTCACTAAAGAATTAAATTTAAAAAGTCACACTTTGTGCTTGCTGAAAATATTGTTTGTGCTTTTAATTTTTGACATTGTGCCTGACTTAATTCAGATTTGTGCTCCTTCCTCAGAACACGCACATTGCTCATTGCACTCCTGTACAAAAAGTCATCAAATCTAACATTCTAGTTAAAAGCAGATTTCATATCACTGAGAATGAATTGGCATGGAGAAGGGTATATACACTATTTCTCATGTAACCCCTTCTGAAGGATGTGGTGGTTGTGTTTAGCTCCATAAATGTATAATAGAAAGGGAACTGAGCTTGGTTAGAGGCCTGGCTGGGATTTAGTCACATCGGGACCACCATGTACTTGGCAGCAAGTGCCTTTACCTGCCAAGAAGGAACTGCATTGATGTATCACCTAGCTTAGTGACTGGCACCAAAATATAGCTCAATAAACAGAAGTCATAGATGTTTTCATTTTTATCAACTCTTATCAAGAGGGTAGAAAGTGTTTGGAGGGAAGTGGCACAACTTGCCAGCCTTTGGGAGCAGCCCATCTGAGAGCACTAGCCTGCAGAGGGGAAGCTGCAGACATTTTATTTTAAAACGGATGTGAGGGAGGGTCAAGCAAAATTATGTATGAAAATACCTTAAAGAATCCTGTTACACTGTGGACTACTTTGTAAGGGACAATTTCTAAAATTTATTTTTTTTTAAAGGAAGGGAAGTAGAGCTCAAAGGCTAAAGTAAAACAAACATTTTAATTTAATTGTAAAGAGTCCTTAGTGGAGAATCTCCAAGTAGGGTGTATACCCTCTGTGGGATGTCCAGGGGGAAAATTGAGAACATAATTAAGTCTCACTCATATTCAAAATATTTGTCATTTTTATTTTATGTGTGTGAGTGTACTGCCTGCATGCTTGGAAGTGCACCCATGTCATGCAATGCCTGGGAAGGTCAGAAGAGGGCATTGGATCCCCTGGAACTGGAGTTACTGACAGTTGTTAGCAGTCATGTGGGTGCTGGGAATCTAACCCAGGTCTTCTGCAAGAGCAGTCAGTGCCTTTAACCACTGGGTCATCTCTCCAGCCCCCATCCTCACTCATATTTAATGTTGATGGTCAATATGTCCTTCCTTGGTCTATACATAAGACAGTCCAATGTCTCATGTGAGAGATATTACTATAAATTGTGACATTTACAGAAAGGGGGAGTCTCTTGGAAGAGGAACTCCCAGAAGCCTCTTCCCATGTCTTGGGGGCCTACCATATTGACTTTAGACAGAGCATTATCACCGATTAATGTCATCAAAGCAATGCCTTCTAATAGAACATCTTTGTAACACTTTGCCCTTGATGGGGAACTGGCAAGTGATTTCTGTGTCACTCTCCTGACCTCATCATAGTACTTTTGCCATGCTCAATGGTAGTATGCCACCTCACATGTAATTTTTTAAAAAATAAGCACATGATTTGTCTTTTCAAAGTAGAAGTGATACTTTCACAATTAGCGAAGCAGTTAATTTCTTTAAAATAACTGGTTCTTGGGGATGGAGAGATGGCTCAACAGTTGAGAGCACTGACTGCTCTTGTAGAGGACCTTGGTTCAGTTCCCATCACCCACATGATTCCAGTTCCAGGGGGATCTAACACCCTCTTCTGGCCTCTAAGGGTATTACATGACCTTGGTGCACTTACATACATATAGGCAAAACACTCATACAAATAAAATAAAAACAAATTTTTAAAAAATTTAATAAAAAGCTGAATCTATGGCAAGAGCATTTTGAAAACAGATGTTTGAAAACATTTCTGCCTTACCCAAACAAAAACCAAAACACCCTCAAAATCCAAAAAAATTTCAACAAAAATCATTGCATAAAAGATAGATGGGATTGAGAAATGCCTGTACCGAATTAACATAGCTGATCTAATAAGGCATTTCTCAGTTTAGAGCCGAGTAGTTCTGAAAACTGTCCTGTTGTGATAGACTTTGAAACCAAGTAATAAATCAAACTGAAGACATATAAGACATTTTAATTGCTACATACTAAAGGCCAATACAGGATTTTCCAAAAATGGCAAAATACGTCCAACACGTTGATCCTATTAAAGACATGAACGGTGACATTTCAGAATATAAACATATTTTGCACCATTAAAAATCAAACACATTTTTTAGAAATTAGATATATCTTATTTTATCTTTATTTTCAAACATTTCTTGTGTATGTGTTTTGGGGAGGTGCATGCTATACTCATTATGGAGGTCAGGGGTCAACTTATGGAAGTCAGTGCTCTCCTTCAATCATGCAGGTTCCGTGGATCAAATTCAGGCCATTAGGATTGGTAGCTAGAGCCTGTACTCTCTTGATTTTTTATTGATCTTATTTTTAAGATGATTTTGAGACATGTTTTTTTTCTTTCCTTTTCTTTTAGAGAAAGGATTTCACTACATAGCCCATCTGGGCTCAAGCTCATGGAAAATTCTTCCACCTTGGCCTCCCAAGTGCTTGAATTGTGGGCATGAGCCATAATATCCAGCAAGAACTTAAGATATTTAATTTTTAAATTTATTTTTATTTTATGTGTATGAGTGTTTTGCCTGCATGTATGTAAGTGCACTTGTGTTATGCAATACCCCTGGAAGCCAGAAGAGGGCATTGAATCCCCTAGAACTGGAGTCATAGATAGTTGTTTGCCACTGTGTGAGCTGGGAACCAAACCCAGGTACTCTGGAAGAACAGCCAGTGTTCTTAACCACTGAGCCATCTTTCCAGCCCTAAACTTAGATAAGTTTTATCTTTATTTTAACCTTTTTCAGTTTCCACTTTGATTAAAATTTTCTAATGTTTGTACAGTAGGAATATGATTATACTTTGTAAATGAAGTAATTTATTACTTTATATAAAATCCTCAGTTCCAGACATTTTTTAATGAAAAGGTTGACAACAAGTGTCTGGAGACTACTGTTTAAGAGGACAGTGAAAGACCAAAGTAGACTTAAACTTTGTGCTGATTTCATTAAGTTAAAAGAAAGCATCATTATAACTCGGGAGAGTGAAGAAAAGAAGGAAGGAAGAGAGGGAGGGAGGGCAGAAGAAGGAAGTAGAGGGCACCATTTGTTTTTCGGAGAAGGTTGTGTCAGCTGGGCTCTTAGAAATATACAGAAGCCGTACTGCTCTACTGAGGGGAGCTAATACATATCTGAATCGTGATTCTGTACAAGTACTGAGAGCTGA